CTCAGTTGAGAACCTCTACTCAACAGGTCAGTCAACCGGGCTTTTCTATTCAGCAATGACCTTAACTTACTTTTCCTAGGGAAAGTAGAAGGCCAAGCCGGGTGGCCAGACCCCGAGGTTAGAGACACCAGCTTAGAGCTTCCTTCAGATGTAACAACATCCTCCCAGGGCAACTTGAATGGCAGCCTAGTTAAACACCTTTCTCCAAGAGGGTAGAGGGCTTGATAACTCAACCCCTAGCAATAAAAGAGTGGTGATGAGAAGGGATGATCTGAAACTCCCGAGGGAACTTTCAAAGAGTTTGATTTAAAAAAAAAAAAAAAAAAAGAGGTTAGCTGAAAGCAGAGCTGGCTCATTTATACTTAAATGGAGAATGAAGACTGAGGTGGGGGAGGAGGAAAGGAGTGGGGAGTAGCAAACCTGACAGGTGCTTTTTAAGAATGTGAACTCTGTAATTTTCTCTTTGCTTATTTTTCCTAACCGTTGAATACGTTTATATTAAAAGTATTTTAAACATAAAACTGTTTGAGGTGCTGTTTTGAGAAAGTCAGGCAAAAGGTTGGTTGGAAAACATTCTTTTACTAGTCAGCTAGAGGAAAAAAAGGCTCCCAAAGAGGAAGGTAAGGGTTAGTGGTAACTGGAAAGGCGAACCTGCCGTGAAACCCCCTTGACCGTCAATAGGAAAGAAAGGACAAATCGGGAGCTGAGTAAATACCCTGGGCTTCCCCCAAATCTTACTAGGAACTTAGAGAGTCTCTGGAAATGCAGAAATAGTTTAAGAGAAAGGAGCATACTCATATTTTAATTAGTGGAACCAGCCACTTATTCAAAGATATGTACTTGTTCAAGCATGCACCACAGATGTCATCAAAGTATAATCTTCCAAAATGACTCTCGTGTAAATTAATGAGGGAACCAGCAAGATGGTAAAGATGGTTCAAAAAGAATTCAACATATAATGTATATAGATATTGGAAAAATAATAGAAAGTTAAATACAAAATTGATTAATTTACTATTCGGCCATAAAATTATAAACTTTGGGTTTATCTCTTCTACCAGACAGAAATCATTTGCATGTTTAACAGATAAACACCTACAAGATTTAATACGTAACTTTGGAGGTTGGGCCCTAATCAATAATAAATAGTAAGATAAACCAAGGCATGAATAATATTGTAGATAATGAAATAATTCTCAAGTGGGCTAGATGAATAATGTTCCAGACCATTAGACAAACAGTCAACCTTGCACCTTAGTTCTAAGTTTTCATACTTTTTCTAAATAATGTATAATAACAGTATAAACTTCCCATCACAAGCAACTATCTCTCATGATGTAGGCACTGTACTGGCTATCTCATCCTCTCTCTATTTTCATGACATAGTTATGATCTCCATTGTACAGAAGGACTGTCAGTGAGTGCTTCTGCAACTTCTGTACCCCAGTACCCGCAGACGACCGAGCATCGCCCTCAGAGCCCCGAGGCGCCGGGAGGGCCGTGAATTTGCCGCAAGTGAGCCGTATCTCGGAAGTCTGCAGTTCCGGCTC